AGAGATTACCTAAAAATGAAATCTTTTTTTCAACGTTTTTTATTTATTTTTGGGACAGAGAGAGACAGAGCATGAACAGGGGAGGGGCAGAGAGAGAGGGAGACACAGAATCGGAAACAGGCTCCAGGCTCCGAGCCATCAGCCCAGAGCCCGACGCGGGGCTCGAACTCACGGACCGCGAGATCGTGACCTGGCTGAAGTCGGACGCTTAACCGACTGCGCCACCCAGGCGCCCCACCTAAAAATAAAATCTTAAAAAGATATATTCCTGGGGCACCTGGGCGGCTTGGTCATTGGTTGAACATCTGACTTAGGCTCAGGTCACGATCTCACAGTTTGTGGGTTCAAGCCCTACGTCGGGCTCTCTGCTGTCAGTGTGGAGCCTGCATCAGATCCTCTGTCCCCCACTCTCTCTCTCTCTCTCTAAAAAAAAAATAATATTCCCTGGATTTTTAGGGCAGTTAAACTGTTATGTATGATATGCTAATGCTGGATAAATGTCATTGTACTTTTGTCAAAATCGCTTAGTTGAGAGTCCAACTCTTGATTTTGACTCAGGTCATGATCCCGGGGTCCTGGTAGTGAGCCCTGTGTCATGCTCCACGCTGGGTGTGGAGCCTGCTTGGGATTCTCTCTCTCCCTCTCCCCCTTTGTCCCTCTGTCCCTCCCTCTCAAACAACAACAAACTCCCTAGCATGTACCACACAAAGAGTGAACCACAATGTGTTTATGCACTTTAGTTAATAATAATGTATCAATGTTGGCTTAGTGATTATTACAAAGTATCACACTAATGCAAGATGTCAATAAGGCGGGGGTGGGGTGGATGCCTGGGTGGCTCAATCGGTCGGGTTGAGCATCTGACTTTGGCTCAGGTCATGATCTCAAGGCTTGTGAGTTCGAGCCCTACGTGGGGCTCTCCACTCTCAGCACAGATCCTGCTTTGGATCCTCTGTCTCCCTCTCTAACCCCTCCCCTCCTTTCTCTCTCTGTCTCAAAAATAAATACACATTAAAAATGTTTTTTTTTTTTTTTTTTTTTTTTGGGGCGCCTGGGTGGCGCAGTCGGTTAAGCGTCCGACTTCAGCCAGGTCACGATCTCGCGGTCCGTGAGTTCGAGCCCCGCGTCGGGCTCTGGGCTGATGGCTCGGAGCCTGGAGCCTGTTTCCGATTCTGTGTCTCCCTCTCTCTCTGCCCCTCCCCCGTTCATGCTCTGTCTCTCTCTGTCCCAAAAATAAATAAACGTTGAAAAAAAAATTAAAAAAAAAATGTTTTTTTATTTTTTAATATGTATTTATTTTTGAGGCAGAGAGAGAGCATGAACAGGGGAGGGTCAGAGAGAGAGGGAGACACAGAATCTGAAGCAGGCCCCAGGCTCTGAGCTGTCAGCACAGAGCCCGATGTGGAGCTCGAACTCACGGACCGTGATTTCATGACCTGAGCCGAAGTCGGACGCTTAACTGACTAAGCCACCCAGGTGCTCCCAAAATGGTTTTTTTTTTTAAAGATGTTAATAAGAGGGTAAACTGGGGTGGGGTAAAGGGGTATGTATGGGAATATTTTATACTTTTCTTTCATTTTCTTAAACTCAAAACTCTTTTTTTTTAAATTTTTTTTTTCAACGTTTTTTATTTTTTATTTTTGGGACAGAGAGAGACAGAGCATGAACGGGGGAGGGACAGAGAGAGAGGGAGACACAGAATCGGAAACAGGCTCCAGGCTCCGAGCCATCAGCCCAGAGCCCGACGCGGGGCTCGAACTCACGGACCGCGAGATCGTGACCTGGCTGAAGTCGGACGCTTAACCGACTGCGCCACCCAGGCGCCCCTTAAACTCAAAACTCTTAAAAAAAAAAAGTTTTTATTTATTTGAATAACCTCTACACCCAACGTGGGGCTTAACGTTATGACCTTGAGATCAAGAGCCGAATCCTCCACCAACGGAGCCAGCCAGATGTCCCAACCCAAAACTGCTCTTAAAAATAAAGCTTAGGGGCACCTGAGTGGCTCAGTCAGTTGAACAACTGACTCTTGATCTTGGCTTAGGTCATGGTTTCATGGTTTGTGAGTCTGAGCCTTGCGTCAGCTCTGCACTGACAATGGGAAGTCGGCTTGGGATTCTCTTCCTCCCTCTCTATCCCTCGCCATCATGCTCTTTCTCTCGCTCTCAAAATAAATAAACTTGAAAGAAAGGAAGCCCAGTAGAGGCACCTGCCTAGTTCAGTCGGTATAGCTTGCTACTCTTGATCTTGGGGTTGTAGGTTTGAGCCCCACATTGGGTCTACACCCAATTACTTAAAAATAAAATCTTAAAAAAAAAATAAAGGGGCGCCTGGGTGGCGCAGTCGGTTAAGCGTCCGACTTCAGCCAGGTCACGATCTCGC